GAGGACTGTAGTGTGGAGACTCTGTTAAGGGGCTTCTCTCTATCCCTCTTCCTCTATTGTGTGTGTGCACACATTTTCTGTCGTGGATGAAATAGATTAAAATTACTTTTTTTTTAAAAAAAGGAAAAGGTAATAGATGAAAAAGCACTTTCCAAAGTTAAAATCATTACACCAAAGCAAGGTATTATTAATTCTACTAAATTGTATCACTTCAGAAAACATTAGCATTTGACACTTAATTTTGAAGGCTTTTCTATAGAAAAACAACACATAAAAGAATAGAGAATTCATGCAGTCATGCCAAATGATCATCAAAATGTATTTTGACAATTCTCTCAAGTGGATATTAGAGCTACTAAGTAAATATATAGTGCTTTGTCCTTAAAACTTGTTTGTCACCAAGTAAACTCAATGTGATAATAACAAGAACCATAGTCTTTACAAGTGGCTCAAATGTCAAACTCTTGCATTTATACCAGAAATCACGCACACCAGAATAACTCACAAGGAAGGCAGAAAAACTGTCTTCTTTGTTTTGGGGGTGGGCCTTCAAAATGGGCTGACAAAGTTCTATTTTTGCTTAAAGATAGGATATAAACTTTACGACCTCCCAAAGTCACTTTCAGACCAATGGCTTTAATGATTGTAAGGAATAGTTTCATTGTGCCTTCAAGGGTCAATCCTTTCCACGCCCTAAGCTAGGGTGATGGGTTGGTGAGGGAGGGTGTGTTTGGACCATCAATAGCAGAGGTGGATGTGGCTCAGTTCCAGTGCTGAAGTTCTCGCCCCTTGTCCAGCGAACCTCAGCCAATGCAGGGTGCCTGGGGAGGGATACCTTTAGTCAGCCTCAAAGGCACTGTTAGTGGCTCCCAGATATTCAGATTTCTTCTTGTGCCTTGTCCACATCTTCCGGAGGATGCTGGGGACACCACAGGAAGCACTGCCTGTCAGCGGTAGAGAGGCCTCTGCTCCTTGGGGAAGAGTTGGATACTCTTCTGCCATCTTCTTGAGATGCCTGGATCTAAGAAAAGCCAGAGGTGGTGGGAAGGGTGGTCATTTCCTGGGGTCAGACTTAATTGTTGCCATTGAGAAGTATGGCTGGTGCTCTTTCTCCTCCTCTGTGCCTCTGTAACCAGGTTCTGTATAGCTGGAAGGTCAGTGTCAGGACCCTCATAGGAACCATTGCCCTTGGAGAGCCTCCTATAGGGGAGGGGAGGAGGTGGCCCTTGATGCCCTGCTACATGGGATCTCACTGTGCTTCTGGCCCTCCTCTGGGCCTGGCTTTGCCAAAGACTCCACTTTTCTGCCCTTCCACTGACATGAGCAACCTTGCTGGATGCTGCAGATGTCCCAAAGCATCAGCTAGTGAAGGAACACGAGCTGGGGGCTTGAGTCCTACACTCCATTTACTGTGACACCAGGCAAGCGACAACCTTGACGGGCCTTGGTTTCCTCTTGTGAGAAATTAGGGTAATTTTGTCTAACTCATTGGCCTTTTGAGAGAAGGAAAATGAGATTTAAAAAAGCATTTGATGGGGCCAGCAGGTGTGCGGAGGTTAAGGCAGCTGGATCTCACTTGGTCACCTGAGCAGTTCGAGTCCTAGACCTGGTGGCTTGAAAATCATGCTGGGTGAATATACGTATATGCCCAGAATCTTGAGAGGAAAAAGGAGGAGAAGGGATTGAGGTGTGGCCATCCCCATTGGGGGGAGGGTTTTCTTTTCTCACTTTCCTGTTCTATCTCTAACTCTCTCTGGAGAACACATGTACCCTATACCAAAGGAAAAAAAAATCTGATACATTGTAGACCCTCAATAAATATCTGCTTTCTCTCCACTTGATCCTCTTAGGTAGAAATAAAAAAAGAAAAGAAAAGAAAAGAAAAGTCCTACTTTATCCCAGGACAGATGGAAAGTATGAGGGGGTCTTCGAAAAGTTTGCAGAAAATGCCTAGTACAAAAAGCTATGGGTCAATTTCAAAATTTTTTTGCCCCATAATAAATTCATATTTTGCTTCTATTTTTTCCCCTCTCTCTCCCTTCATCTCTCTCTCTTTTTTCTTTTTTTCTTCATGATAGAGTGTGTGTGTGTGTGTGTGTGTGTGTGTGTGTGCGTGTGTGTGCCCAAGAGAGTTGAGAGGAGCATCCTTCTTAGGGCTCAATCATACCATGATCCCTTATCTCCAGCCCTTCAACCTGCTGGGATTCTAGGCATGCATATGTACCTGGCATGTTTTCAGGCCGATTGGGCCAGGAACTCAAACCGTGGTTGGCATGTGACTTTCAGGTCTTCAGCCTGGCATATCTGCACCACAGAGGCCTGGCCTAATTCCATTTTCCGTGAACTTTTTGAAGTCTTCTTGTACATGCTGAATTGAGAGTAAGACTCTTGCTATCTTGGTGCCACAGTGAAGGCAGTGAGGGAATTGTCATGAGATTATCCACTTCTGCTACCCTGGATCAGAATCAGCACTAACCCTGGGGTGACACTGGCCTAGTTTAAAACCTTAGTATTTTATGCACTTCTTTACCTAAGCCACAGTGGCCCAGAACTACTTCATGAGGCATTTTGGACACCAGTGCAACTATGAAGGTTCTGAATGTGACTTGGGTGCACATTCACCTAATTAACCAAAATCCCTTCCAAATGACACTTCTCCGAGTCTAAAGTGGCGTTAATGAAGTGGAAACCATGAAAGACACTTGAGCTTAATCCTAGGGAAACAGTTGCGGAGGCGCTCTGAAGACTTGGGATTACTGCCCTCATTAAAAGGTAATTTACAGCTGGCCTGGGCTTTGTTTTAGCATCTTGGGAGTCTGTAAGCCAGGCCACCTGTTACTTTGTGCGGCAGGCAGTAGAACGGGGCACAGCACTTACCCTCTCGTCAGAGCAGCTCCGCCTTCTGAGCCTGTGGCTGCCACCTCCACCACGGCCGGAGCTTTCACTGAGATCCGAGGCACTGGAGGAATCTGCGGCCAGGAAGAAGAGGAAGATGAGAGTGTGCCTACGTGGGCACCAACTGGAGTTGTCTGAAAGGCGGATGACCAAATGGAGCCACCAGCGCTTGGCGGCTTTCTCACACGTCCATGGACATCAGGCTCTCCTGGAGCCTTTGTTAGAGAGCGCCACCCCTCCCCATAGTCTGATTCAGCAGGTCTGGTATGGGCCTGAGAATCTGCAATTCTTTATCTTTTTAAATTATTTTAACTTTTTTTATTATTTATTTATTTTAATTTGACCAGAGAGGGATAGAGAGAGAGAGAGAGAGAAAGAGAGAAAGTGAGAAGGGTTCCAGAAAGTACCAGGTCTGGTACTCAAACCACAGTCGGCCATGTGAGAGTCCAGTGCCCTTAACCATCATGCCACCTGCTGCCCCTCCCCCTTTTTAGAATTATTTTATTTAACTTTATTTATTGAGAATCTGCAATTCCTTCTTTTTATAGTGAATGTGTATGTGTGTGTGTGAGAGAGAGAAGGAGATAGAGAGAGCTCACCCTTGACAGGGTCTCATTATGCCATGATCCCCTTTCCTCAGCTGTCTTGTTCCTCAGGATCCTGGGTGCCCATGTGCCTGGCATGTTTTCAAGCCAACCCAGAATTCAAATCGGCAGTTGGCCATATGGCCTCCAGTCTTCTCGGGCCTTGCACTATTGCTGTGCCACAGTGGCTGGGCCAGGGACTTTAACACATTCCCAGGTGCCACTGGTCAGGTCCTCTCTTTGAGGACCAGTGATTTCAAGTCACTTGACAGAGCATAGTTCAATCTCATGTGAGAACTGTTGTCCATGTACCTCATCACCCATGTCCAATTTGTTGTCCTATATTCATGCTTCAAATAGGTGCCTAGACTTGCGCCAGCTGCCGTACTTCCTCTGCCACAGCCTTCAAGGGACAGCTACCTCCAATCTCCATGTTTCCAACCAGATCGCTGCATCTCCCACATCTGTCCTAGGCTCTGGAACTGTCAGGGCTCCCCACCACAGGGCCAACAAATCCAATTCTGCAGCTGCTCTTCAAAGCTCCTCAACTCCAACTTCCACCTCACCTGTGCAGCACAGACCATCATCCCTGTGTGTATCAACACTTGCTTTCCATGCCTGCAGGAGCGACCTGCTTCCCCTAATCCTTACATACCACTCTTTGGATCAAGGCCTCATTTCTGCCTGCCCTTCAAGGCCCCTTTCTCCAGGAAGTCTTCCCTGAGGTGAGTGGCCAAAGTTGAGCTTTCTCTGTCCTCATGTTTTCATTGCACTGTTTATGTGACACGACTTGGTCTTTCACTGACCCTGTCTTTTTATGGTTTTCTACTTGTCCCATGTTTGTCCAGTCTCCTGAACCCCAGAATGACTGCACAGCGAGGGGCAGAGTCTGGGTCTCAGCCCCTGTGGTAGGCCTCCTCAGCCTTCCCTGAGAACGTGGCCGTTCAACATGTACTGATTTGGAAACTAGCGGATGGCCCAGCTATGGCTAGTGCAAAGGTGGCTGGCCACGGACACACTGTGCTTTGCTCTCTCATCCCAAGCCCCATGAAGGCTTCAAGTCATCACATTCCTGAAATCGTTGGAAAATTCCAGGTCAAGGGCACCTCCTTTGCTCCTGAGTTGGCTGAAGGCCGTGTGCAGAGTTACTGTGCCACCTTGTGGCCTCTCTAGAGTGCTCCCTCATTGAGCCAATAGCCTGGGCGCACTTACACCCACCCCTTCCTAGCCCTGGAGGAAAGGCCCTGGTTCCCACTCTTTACCCTAAAGTCCCGAGTCCAGTCTCATCCAGTGCATTTTGGTGTTGAATCAGATTTGGCTCTGTGGGCTCTGGATCACTCTCTTGCCCTAGGAAAACAGGCCTCTGAAGAGCTGGGGTATTGCAGCTCCTCTGTACCCAGGACTACAGGAAAGGGTTTGACAGGCTGCTGCTTCTTTTCATTGTTATCGCCTCCCTTTGTAACCATATCTCCATTGCTACCCTAATCCATCCAGGCTCCCTTGGCCTCCTGTTGTGGCTGCCTCTCTGCCAAGGACACCATCTGCCTGAGACCAGAGCAAGGGCCGGAAGTCCAAGGCCATGAACCTGCCTCATCCCTTAACCTCATTCTTGATCTGTGCCCAATCGAGGGCAATTCTTTGAGCTCCCACACCTGACAGCCTTCTCTCGGTGTCAACTGCCAGCCATCTCTGGCTTTCCTTGAGTACAGGGTTGGGAAAGAGATCTCCCTCACGAATAGCTTGTCTTGTACGACTCTGTGTGGTTTTCCTAGTATAGCGATGACCGAAACGAGATCCGTGGGTTAGAGCTTCCACCTGCAGTTCTGTCTGATTTGTTCCAGGAGGATGAGGGGTCGCCCAGACAACCTCTGGGTCTCTCCTAGTTCTTACGTTGCCCTGTCTATGAACCTTCAGAGCTGATACTCAAAAAGCCTAGGCTGGGAACCAGCAGTTAGCGTAATGGCTATGTTGCTGGACTCCCATGTAGTCGACCGCAGTTCGTGTCCCGGACCCGGTGGCTTAAAAAACTCATGCCGGGCGCGTGTGCGTGCATGCCCAAGATCCCGAGAGGAGAATGGAGAAGGGATTGCGTGACCATCACCCCTGGGGGGTGATTTCTCGCTTTCTGTCTCTATGTCTCTCTCTGTCTGTCTGGCGAGCACACGCGCCCTACAGTGAAAATCTCTCCAAAAAAAAAAAAAGAAAAAAGCCTAGGCTGTCTGTCTCAGCCTACCTCACCTATAGCTGATGTTGATTCTGCTAAGAGGGAACCTGATGTTCAAGCACAGAAGATGACAAAGGAGATGGACTGATAGTCCTGGAGATGCCCCTGATCACCTTTCAAGGAAGGACAATCTGCCAGCTTCAGGAGAGTGGGCAGCAGAAGACTCTGAGCTCCTTCAGGTGTGTTTCAGCTACAGAGTGCCATCTTGCCCAAGCTCACACCCTGCCTGGGGTAGTCCACATGCCATGATGGAATGAGGAAGAAATATGAAGACTTTGCTATTATGGTCCAACCAAGACCAACCTGGATGGGCAACACTGGCCTCAGAGCTCCCCACCAGGAGGCATTGGGCCTACAGCTCCCTCCCTCCAAGCCTGCCTCCCCACTCCTGTCACAGGGGTTGATCCCTAATAGACATCTTGTACCCCAAATTCAGACTGCTTCTGCAGAATGACCTGTAGCACATCCCCCCAGAATTCACCATCAGAAGATAACTGGTTGTTATGAACTGAATATTTGTGTGTGCCCCCAAATTCATATTTTAATCCCCAATGTGATGATTTAGGGAGGTGGGACTTTTAAGAGGTAATTAGATTTAGAGATGTCACAAGAGTAGACTTCCTATGATAGGATTAGTCCCCTGTAGGAAGAACCCTTACCAGACACTGAATCTGCTGGCCTTGATCGTGGACTTCCCAACCTCCAGAACTACAAGGAAATGTTGCTCAAGTTACCCAGTCTATGGTATTTTGTTACAGCAGCCCATGCCAACTAAGATGGGTGTATTGTGGTCTCATAGTGCTTGAGACCCTTAGGCCTTGTTGACTCTATTGTGGCACCTGGAAACTAGGCACTTTCTCCTGGTAGGGGCCAACCATAGAAACCAGCGCTTTCTCTCATTTAGATGTCCCCTGAGCACAGCTTCTGTTTGCCTAAGTGCTGAATGTCTGGCAAGACAGAAAAGCAGCCAGTGATAAACCACAAGCACACAAAGCAGGGTCAACTGATAGATTTTAGGAGCAAAGAAGTGCCAGATATTCCTTTCTAATAATCCTCAGGCTTGGAACAAACCACACCCAGTCTTTCTTCATGGCGCAGTAGAAACACATGGCAAGGATTTAAAGCACAACAGACAACTAACCAGGCTTATTTAACTTACCAAAGATTTTCCATATGCTCGATTCCCACACAGATTTGATGCTTTGGGCTCAGAAATCCCCACTGCAAAATTGAACAGAAGAGACATTACTCAGTGGAACTTCGTGTTCTGCCTCCCCCTAGTTCTACATCAATTATCTGGTTAGCCACTCCATCTCAGAAGGGAATTTCTACAGGCCTTTCACCAAGCAGCAAGAACAGGCAATGGCAGGCAATGGGGCACCTGTGTCCCTGCCACTCTTCTGCGGCTGGAACTAAGGTCCAGTCAGAATCAGTGTGCCAGAGCGAGTTTACTGACTGCTACAAACACGCTGCTCTGGTGGGGGACATTGATACTGGGGGAAGCTGTGCATGTGTAGGGGCAGGGGATATAGAAAACTTCTTTCTAATGCCTTTCTCCTGAGACCCCAACCTACTTCTGAGTAATTCCTGCCCCGAAGCCTGCAACTTCTAAGGACCAGGTGTCGAGTTGAGGTAGCTGGGAAAAGGTCGAGAAAACTGCCTTTTAGCACAGATCTCTCCAGGGGCAGAGGGTCCAGAATAAACCCTGCCTTGTTGCACTACGGTACATAGAAATAGCGCCCCCCTACTATTTCAATGTTTTTATTTATTTATTGTTTTCTTGTTTCCTGTATATTTTGCTTTTTTCCCCATCCTTGATTCCCTATCTCTTACCCTCTGCCATCTTATTCATTTATTTAAATTTGACCAGAGAGAAACAGAGAGAGAGAGTTTAAATTTGAGAACAGAGAAACAGAGAGAGAGAGAGAGAGAGAGAGAGAGAGAGAGAGAGAGAGAAAGAAAGAAAGAAAGGAAGGAAGAAAGACACTAGATCTGGGACTCAAACCACAGTCGGCCATGTGGGAGTTTCCAGCGCCTTCACCACCATGCCACCTGCTCGTCCTTCAATGTTAATAAAATGAAAACTTACAAGACCACCAAGATCAAGCCATGATGAATGGTGTCCTGGCATAAATAATAGCAATAGCAGGTCACACTTTTGGGTCTGCATGCAGACACCATGCTGAATATAAGCACATACATGTCATCTCTCCTAATCCTCACTACTGCCCTAAGAGGTAGATCTCATGATAGTCCACGCCGTACAGTTGAGGAAACCGAGAATTTCGTGATACATAACAATTATGATGAAGCCGGGTGAGGATGATTTAGGGAGTTGCATACTAGTGTCTTTGGTGGTCTTGTAGGGCTGGGAGGCTTGCCTGAGGGACCCCTTTATCCAGCCTGGAGCAGGTGGGATTTGCTAGGTGGAGAGACACAGGGAGGGCAATCCATAGAGACGCCAGTGTCAGCCAAGTCCAGTGAAGCAGGACACAAATGGAGCAGTCACAGAATTACCCCGCAGCCCAGGGAGCCTCTACAGAACAGTGTGATGGGGCAGGAGTGTCACAGAAGGTGGCCCTGGAGAGGTCAGTGTGGTCTAAAGGGCAGGGAAGGGAGTAGATACAGTGTTTAAAGCCAAGAGATGGCAGAGGGAAATTTTGGATTTTGGAAGACCCCTCTGGTAGCCTGGTAGAGGGAGGGGACTGGAGGCCAAAGACTTTCAACTGACACTGTTCTCTACACACCTGAGATGAAGAGAGATTTCCTGGGCAGCTCGAGACAAGGAATGCTAGTTGACATGGTCGGTGTTTCTGGCATGAAGTGGTGGGGAGGGGAAGGAGGTGTTGGAAAACATCCTAAGACCTGCTGGAATGATGGGCAGTAGCCTCGGTTGAGAAAGAAGAGAAGCTTGACAAAGCTGACCCTGGGGTGCCTAAGAACATCTCAGTGAAGTCCCATAGGCAGCCAGTTCACCAAGCCCAAAAGTGGGGACTGCCTCCTTTTCAATCACCTGAGGCCCTATGATAAGAATTTCTCAGCTGGGTCCAGAGCATCTTTCTCCCACACGAGAGAGCTACAGCATCTGGGAACCTCCTTTTATAGTTCAGAAAAGCACAAGTGCCCAGATCTGAGATCCCTGAGACAGACAGCTTTCTGATGGAGGATGGACGACTCTGGAGCTCCGAGGTCTGCCTTTGGCTCAGAAACACTCTCTCCCTCCCACCCCCTCTGGAATCCACCAGACTGGGGAGCTAAAGGAATTGAATCAATGCCCAGCTCAATCTCACTCTTTTCCCCCCTAAGCCTGACTAGCACATTCCCTGCATGAGCTGACTGTCACGTGCTGGGCAGGTTCTCCTCATTTCATAATTACTGCTCCTGCCTTTCAGAATAAAAGACTTTCACAGAATACTTAGAACATACCTCCCAAACTAGACCATGGGGAAAACATTATTCCCCAGAAGAAGCAGCACTAGCTAGAGAACCAGAGCACCTGAAGTTTAATCTTGGTTTTGTTGCTAACAAGCAGTGTGACCTTGGGCAGGTCAAACATGTCTACTGTTTCAGTGTTCTCTTCTGTGAATTGGCAAAAAGGTGTTTGCATTAGATCAGAGGTTCTCCACCTTCAGTGTGCATTTAGAATCACCTGGGGGGCTTGTTAAAACACAGATTGGTTCTGACTCTGGCATTTCTGATTCAGCAAAATTTGCATTTTTTCAACAAATTTCCAGATGCTGCTGCTCCCAGAATTCCACTTTGAGATGCACAGCACTGGATCATCCCTAAATCCTTTCTACTCAGTATGTTGTCCTTGGAGCATCAGCATTAATATGGAGGAGCTTGTTGGAGACATAAAATCTCAGGGCCCACCCAGCTCTGCTGAATTAGAATCTGCACAAAAGCAAGATTCCCGTGTGATCCTTTTGCACATTAAAATGTAAGAAGCATGACTGTCGAGCTGTGATTGTGTAGCAAAGATAAACATTGTCTCTCTCTCTCTCACACATGTACCACCCACCTGCCTATATATAGACACAGGGAAGAATCCATCGACACTTTGCAAGGCAAATTGTGGTTTTCCTAAAGCTTTTTTTTAATATACATTTACATGTAACCAGTAACTAGAGAATATAGTTTGATTTATGCATTCTTATGCATAGAATTATAAGAACAGGATCAGGTTCTTAGTGATCAAAGAAACCTTGGCTGTCTAGTTTAGCAGAAAAAGACAAGATGAATGAATGAAGGGACATACTCAATGGATCTTATTTTAGTTCTTATAACATACAGAGTTGCAAATGCCCAAGGCTTTGAGAAGGACATCCCAAACTTCCTCCTGTGCGTTTTTGGAATTAGAACATGAATAACTTTAGGTTGTGATTATAGCAGAAATAACCTAAACCATAGTAGAGTTCAGTGGGTTAGAGACACATTCCTCACTGACTGCATGGGATGGAAGCTGTTTTACAAAAATGTTATCCTGTTCTTTGTTGAAGATGGTGAATATGTTTATAGCCTTGATTTGATTATCACGCACTATATGCATACTTTAAAGAACCATATTGCACTCCACAGAGATGTACAATAATATGTAAATCAGAGATTATTATAAAAATATAGTACCCAAGAAAAACTTTCCCGCTCTCAAAACAAATATACCCTAAACGCTTTAAAACAAACAACAAAATTATTTTAGTGCCAGAGAGTGTGCACTCTATAGAGAGAGCACTCAACTTAGTGGCCTGTGTGTTTTTCAAGCCGACAGTAGGGATTGGAAACCGGGTTGGCCATGTGGAATCCAACACTACTGCAGACCTTCTGAATTCTTTACATGCCTTATTGAAATAGCCTACAGAATTCAATTTTTTGGGACAAGGTAATTTATTTTATTATATTATTATTATTATTTTATACATTCAATCACTATACGTCATTTAGCTCGTATAAAGAATGTGCCCAACATGAAATGCACCCTGGACCAGTCTAGTTGAGAATACTATATACATCATCACCAACAGTAATAAACCATTCGTGTCCCACTAAAGTCATTCCAAATTAACTGGTAAATGTGGGGCGGGGAGACCTCAGTAGCCTAGTTAAGGAATCCAGATCCCTCATGGTAGGCAGGAATTCTAATGTCAGGCCAAGCCATCAGTGCTTGGTGTGAGTCCAAAATCACAACAGGATGGAGAGATGGAGAGGTAAGAATTATAGCATAACCATGCCCCGTTGCTTTCTCCCTCTCCCTTGTTCTTTATATCTCTCTGGAAAGTGTATGTACCCTCTGACAATTAAATAAATAAATAAATAAAATGGCAAAATTTTAAGATGGCAGTTTATGAAGAGCCAGTACAATAACATACATGCACGCAATTGGCTAAATATTACAAGTAAGAAGAGATTCCTTTGCTTTATGGGTGGGGGCGCCCTCTCCCGCTGAGCACTGTCTTCTGGATAAAGCCCTGCTCTTTAGAGAGCAAGACCGTGTGGAGGAGGAGGTCCGTTCCCCTCACTACACACTCAAGAAGCCAGTGTTTGATAGGGGTTCTGTGGCGGCGTTGCTCCAGGCGAGGCCGAACACAGGAGCTTTAGTAGTGGAAACAGCAGGTGTGCGGCTTACCTGGCACCCCACCCCGCAGGTGCTCCACCCACCGGGCATGACTTAGGCTCCCAGGGAAGACCACGTAGTCCTTGGAAAAGCACAAGGCAGGATGGATGTAGACACCATCGCTCTGCTCTTTCGTAGCTGTGCAACTGTCACTAAGTGAGTCCTTGCACCCAGGAAGGTTCAGAGGAACAAGGCCCTGGAACCACGTACCACGTACCAGATCTGGCGGGAGTTTTGGCTGGATGAGCTCCTGGCGGCCGCGCACTCTGGAGCCGGCCCAACCTGCGGTCCCTGCGGCTGTCTCCTGCGTCTCGGCGGACGCTGCGGTGTGGCAGCAGCTCCAGGGGCCGGGGCGTGTACAGGTCCGACTCAATCACCACCTGCAGGGCGAAGGAAGGGCAGTTAGCCTATTCTTGTCCTAGGATCTTGGACCCATGGCCCCGAGGATGGGACTTTTGTACACAGACAGGACCTTACGTCCGCAAGGACTTTTTGGAGCCTCCTTTACTCCAGTGAATGCTAGGAGCAGCGGAAAACTTCGGTAGAAAACTGGCCAGAAACGGCCAATTGTTTTGACTTCAGGCTGCCCAATGGTGCCACGGTGCAAGAAAGTGAGGGTTCTGGTGAGATTTCTCAATAGCAGTCCACCAAGTCAGGAGCCTGGGTCATCCAGCCAAATATCAGGGCAGTGGCCTGACGTGACTTGACAACAGGACTGGCTATTTGAAATGAGAACAGTCCTGGAAAGCAGGGGTTTTGTGGCTGAAACTCCCCTGGGGGGTGATTTCTCACTTTTCTTCTCACTGTCTCTCTCCAGTGAACGCACACGCCCTATGGCAAAGGGAAAAAAATGGAGGAAGCTTCATGCATGATGAAGCAGACGTGGCTTCCTCATGCTCACATTTCCTCTGCTGTGTGGAGGGCCAGGGTCAGGCTGGAGCTGGGAGGTGCACTTCCACCACCTGGCTCTCTAAGCAAAATTGTGGTAAGGCCCAGCAGAGGGCTAGATGCTATGGCATTGGTCATGATCTCTGCTGAATAGTTATCTGGGGAAGTATAGCAGAGGAGATCTCTTTTTGGTCAGGGCCTATCAAAATGGGCCTTGGGGCCAGCAGTTAGGGTAATGGCTATGTCGCTGAAGGCCCATGTAGTAGACTGCGGTTCGAGTCCTGGACCCGGTAGCTTAAACTCACGCCGGGCGCATGTGCATGCGTGCCCAAGATCCCAAGAGAATGGAGGAGAAGGGATTGCAACATAGCCACCACCACCACCATCCCCCTCCCCCGCCCCTGAGGGAGTGATTTCTCACTTTCTCTCTTTCTGCTTCTCTCTGTCTCTGGCTAGTGCACACATCTATAGCAAAAACCTAAAAAAAAAAAAAAAAAGAGGCCTTAAACATTGTAATAAAAATATTTACGTCATTGAAATCATTTATATATGAAAGCTCGAGATGAATAATAGCAGTCATTTCATCTTATGATGCAGAGTCAGGAAGAGAATTTGGGCTCAGATCCTGCATATTTCAGAGAGAGCCAGGACACTGGGGTCATTCATTTTGAATGTCCTCCCTCCTTGAATCTCAACAGAACCTCCAATATGCTAGTGCAGCTTGCTGAGGTCCGCATCACCATTCACTTGTCCCTTCCTTCCACAGCTGACCTGCGAGGGCATGTTTTGTGCTTGGTCCTGGGCTCACTGCGCATCTGTAGGCGAGGGGGCAGATTCAGCCCTCACAGTCTAGCCTTTGACAGATCCCCTTCAGTTGTCCAGAGAGAATAATTGCCTTGCTTTTGGGGGATGCAGAAGCAAAAATGAATGCTTTTTAAAAAGTGATACTACTGTGACAGTTCAACTCAGTGGAGAAAAATGGGATCTTTAACTAATATGGTTGGGATGAATGTCAGGCCCCTGGAGAAAATGGATTCCTGTCCATTTCTAGAAATGAATACCAGCCAAATCAAAGCCGCATGCTAAACTGCAACTGGCATGAGGATAGAATACAGTTCACTGGAACAGTTGTTACATATAGTGGGTGGTTATCCTTATGTATATAGGACTCTTACAAATGAAAAAAAGTTAAAAAGAAAAAAAACCAGTGGAAACGTGGGACAGAAATGTGGTCTGGTAATTAAAAGGAGCAATGCAAATGGCCAATGAACATGCAAAGATGCTGAACAACATGAATAGTTAAATAAATGTCTATTGAAATGATATTATTTTTTCCTTTTATCAGATTGTCAATGAAGACAATAATTCTATTTGGAGTTGGGCAGACCCATGTTCAAACCCCAGTTTGGACACTTGGCAGTTATGGGAAGGGGACATTCCTACCTGCCCTTACTGTACCAGGGCAGAGTAGGTACCTGTCATTAGTTGGTAGAGACTTTAGTAGCACATGTTGCCCTCATTCTTCATGCCACATATTAGTCTATGGCATCTGAGAGCAGTTTTAAGTCTCTTGAAGGTAAACTTTCATGTCTTCTAGAGAGGAAGATAAGGGAAGTTGTCATTCTTTGCTTCAGTTGACCACCAGTAGTCCTTTACTTAGAAAGTTAATAAATCTCAAATTTAGTTTTTTTTTTTTTTGGAGAGGTTTTTGCTATAGAGCACATGCGCTCGCCAGACAGAGAGAGACAGAGAGATAGAAAGCGAGAAAACACCCCCCGGGGGGGATGGCCACCCGCAATCCCTTCTACTCCATTCCCCTCTCGGGATCATGGGCACGCATGCACACGTGCCCGGTGTGAGTTTAAGTCATCGGGCCTGGGACTCAAATTTTAGTCGACTACATGGGAGTCCAGCAACATAGCCATTATGCTAACTGCTGGTCCCTCAAATTTAGTTTTAAATGGCTTAGGAAATTAACTCTATTCAGTTCCCTTTTAGGACCTAGAATTAGTCATTCTGCACCTTTGGAGAAAGTTGATAATAATTCAGGAGCATTTAGGGTTCATCACTGGGACCGAAAGTTCGTTTTCTTCTCTGTGCACTACAGAAGGTAGTGATTTTGCTAGGTTTCCAGCAAGCCCCTGATGCAGGCTAGGGGCATCACCTGTCCACCCTAGACCGGCTCCTGGGGGCTGTGAAATGCCGTGAAGGGTGGCCTGCACCCCTATTCTCACAGGCTGCTCCCCTGCCTGCACCCCTATCCTGCATGGGCTGCTCCCCTCTGCACCCCTTCCTTCTTAGCTCTGCTTTCTGCCATGATGTAGCCCAGGATCCTGAAATTTCCCAGACTAGTGGCCATTCTGAGCCCCATTCCTTTGGACACATGTACTATGTGGTATTACAGCCCCTGGCAATGTGACCTCCAGGACTTACCAGGAGAGACCTGTGCTGCATTACGTGACTCTTTGCAGGGCTCTTTGCTGTCGACCTGTCATCATAGCACTTGATTCTCTCTTCCCACAGTAATAGAGGCTCTGAGAAGGCTCCAGGGAAGGTTAGGCCACCAGGGAAGGAACCACTGTATGATCCTGGCCTCCTGACAGGAGAACAGTCTGAGAACCAGTCTGAGAGCGGGCTCTTTAGCACCATGAGTATGGGGATAAGGCTGGAAAATGGTGGGGTGGGGTTTTAATGAGGAGAGATAAGCGTCCTGGGCCCAGATGGTGGCAGAGCTAAAACACAATGTTCTGCAAAGAGGACCTACACGGGAAGGTTGCCAATTTGCACATGGAGGCCTCCCTGAGCACACTAGGCATGGACGTGACCATGATCCAGGCTGGCAGGTATGGATTGCAGCCTTAGGATCCTGTCAGGGATGCTGGATCTCTCTCACTCACTCATGGAATACCTAAATAAACTTTAATGCTGGAATTGTCCTTTCCTAGGACAGCAAGCTGCCTGCTGAAGTAGGGAATGTGCTAGAACAACAAGCTTCATTATAATACATGGATGCTCTCCTGCTGGTTTTAGAGAGGTGAGAGGTAGCAAGAGCAGAAGACACAACTAGCATGTAACCCCCGAGATTCAATCCACTGACATCTTTGATTCACCCTGCTGTTTGCTTGCTGGCTTGGAGGGCTGATGGAAGTTAGAGAGACAGCCAAGTTCTACACCGTGGAGAATCATGGTTCAGGGTTAAAAGGATTCATTGAGATGTTCTAACCTAACTCCCTACTTTTACACACAGGGAAACTGAGGCCAAGAGAGGCCATATGTCTTGCTCAAGGTCACAGTGCTGTAAAAGACAGAGCCTGGATGAGAACCCTGGTTTCCTGCTTCCTGAGTGAGTGCTCTTTGCCGAACCCACAAAATGCCTGCATCCAAATACAAAGGGCAGGGCTGTCTGGTGTGGATGGCATTTGTCAATTATTTTGGGTAAGTAGAAGACAGAGAGTATAGCCACACTCACGTGGGGCAGAGAAAAGCCTTCCGCTCACTGAGAGTGGTCAGAGTGGAGAAGAAGCCAGGCATTGCTTATTAAATGAAAGTCTATCAAAGGGGATCAAAACTGATGTTTCCTTACATTCTTGGTCAAGAGGTGTTGAGAGCTTTTGACTCTTCTCCTGGCTGGGCTGGACACTGCAAAGAGAGAGAAAGAAATGGTTTTAGAGAACATCAGTGAGGCTGAGTTAGCTACAGTCACACTGAGATTTGGACCTGGTTTGGAGCGAGGGCATGGAGGAGGGAATGGGAAGAGAACGCAGGGCTCCATTACAATTGAAAATGTTACATGTCTTGTGGATGCCAGTGTTCAGAGCAGTTCTTTTCTTATGGTCTAAGGGTGGAAACAACCCAAATGTCCATCAACAGCTAAATAGATAAACAAATTGTGGTATAGCCACATCATGGAATATTTCTCAGATTTGGGATGAAATTCTGGTGTGTGCTCTGATATGAATGAATCTCATGAACACTGCACTAAGAGGAACAACTAAAACATAAAAGGACAACATGTGTATGATTCCACTCACGTGAGGTCCCTAGAGTAGTCAGATTCATGGAGAGAGAAGGTAAAATGATTCCCCAGGGGGTGGGGAATAGAGGAATGAAGGAATGGGGAGTTAGTGTTTACTGGGTACAGGACTTCAGTTTATGATGATGAGAAAATTCTGGGGCAACTCATTTTTGGGACCCCGCCCTTCTTGGGAGCGCTCTTTCTCTTCCCCTCTCTTTTAAATAAATTCCCTGGTTTGCTCTACTAAAAAGGGGGGAAAATGTTCTGAACTGTATACTTGAAAATGGTGAAAATAGTAGATTCTGGGGCCAGCAGTTGGCGTAATGGCCACATCACTGTACTCTCATGTAGTCGACCATGGTTCAAGCTCCGGACCCGGTGGCTTGAACTCACAGCAGGCACATGTGCGTGTATGCCCAAGATCCCTAGAGGAGAATGGAGGAGAAGGGACTGTGGCATGGCCATCTCCCCAGAGGGTGATTTCTCACTTTATCTCTCTCTCTCTCTCTTTCTGGTGAGCTAATGTGCCCTAAAACAAAAACCTCTCAAAAATATATAGTAAATTCTGTGCTAGATATATTTACCATGATTAACATAAAGAAATCAATTAACCATGAAAATATGTTACTTTGTTGAGAAACAGTGTAGAATTTGTTGAAAATGGGGACCAGCGGATGGTGTGGTGGTTACATTGCTTGACTCCCACATGGCCTACCACAGTTCTGGTCTTGAACCCGGTGGCTTGAAAATCCTGCCAGGTGCGTGTCAATGTGTGCCCAAGATCACGGGAGGAGAAGGGAAGAAAAGGGATTGTGGTGTGGCCATCCCCCATGAGCAGTGATTTCTCACTTTCCTTCTCACTGTCTCTGTCTCTCTCTCTCTCTGGTGAGTGCACACACTTTAAGGAAAAATCTCTCTCTCTCTCTCTTTTTTTTTTTTTTTAGAGGTTTTTGCTATTTTTTTTGCTATAGGGCGCAAGCGCTCGCCAGACAGACAGAGAGAGACAGAGAGACAGAAAGTGAGAAATCACCCCCCAGGGGGGATGGCCACACCGCA